TATTATGTACTTAAATAAATATTTTGATGTTTCTCGGGTGTTTGGTGTCAGCTAGACTTATTCAATACAATATTATTGAATTTGATACCACTAAAAATAACTTGTGTTGAAGGCACAATGCACTTCTTAATTTATAAAAAAAAGGTGTATAGTCCATCTTACTAATATAATAAATGTGAGGGTTAAATGTTCGAATATTTGGATAAATGTTTGTTACTCCATCACGCCTTTCATCCAGATCCGTTCGAACGGCTGAACGGATCTGAATGAAATTTGGCAAAGAGATAGATTATAGTCTGGAATAGCACAAAGGCTACTTTTATCCCGGAAAATGTACGGTTCCCGTGGGATAGATTTGTTTTTATTTTCTAGAGGCGAAGCCGAGCGAAGCGAAGGTGAGCTCCTAGTATAATATATAACTATGAAAGTCATATTATAACTTATAAATAGTTTTTGTGTATCCCGAACTTCCCCCAAATCCGTTAAGCCGATACAAAGTGGAGACGTAACAAATTCACTCACAAACTTTCGCATTGACAAAATGAATATTTTATTATTCAAAGAGCTTATACTAAAACACTTTTAATTTAATCTTGCTTCCAACAGGAAAACATATAGGAAATACACAAATGAATATTTCAATAGTTTATTAACTGATGAGAGAAAATTATTGACAAGGTCATATCGCGGTGTCGCGCTGTCGATACAATACCTACTTGGAATTAATTTTTCTTCAACAGTTAGTGATTCTATCACCTCATAGCGTATCAATATATACCTATATTACTACCAGAACCCGCGGCTTCGCTCGCGCCAAACTACAAAAACATCTCTTAAAACGTAGTTTCATACAAGCTTTATCCCCTATTTCACCCCCTTATAGGATGAATTTCGAAAAATGCTAAAACACATGTTTATTTAATTTCACTGAAGAACATTAATTTTAAGTTTTTAAATCTGATCATAATTTTTTTTTTTTTTGGATTATATTATAATCGCGAATCCGTATAATAGAGGGCCGGATAATCGAGTCTCTACTGTATATTTATAGATTATACCGTGTTTTCCCGTGGGAATTAGATAATCTTCCGCGGTAAAAAGTCAATCCGTCACTCCGTTTCGTCGTGAAATAAAGACAAACGAACAAACACACTTACATTTATAATATTAGTATGGATATATACTGTCAAGTAATGCATAAAGCATGTTATAGGTATACATATGTTTAAATTAATAAGACTGGTTTATCGTCCAATCTAAAGACATTTTTGACGAATTAATTAATTTATAATATTTATAGTAAAGTATGGAATCTATATTTTACAGCCATATATCTAGTGGCTGGTCTATACCACTGAGGATTGGAAGTCTTTTTAGGGTAGTTCGGGCCAATAAAAAAAGAGATAAATCTATACATAAAATAAAATTGTAACTAAGCCGAATCTGTACATTAAATATTTTTTGGAAAATCTTATTGAAATAGACATTATTATCGATAGAGGCCAAATCTATAGTTTTTAGAATTTTTGTCTGTCTGTCTGCCTGTTACCTCATCACAGAAAAACTACTGGAGGGATTTAAATGAAATTTGGTATGGTGATAGCTGGTTATCCGAGTAAGAAAAAGTGAGAAAAAATATGTACTGTAAATAATTGTATATTATATAATTATATAATATGCAATATAATCGCAGCGACGCTATGTAAACCTGTGTCAGCACAACTAGTTGCGAGCAATTAATTATTGCGAGTACACACTCATGCCAGTTAGTGCAATTAACTTGAAGCAGAATGATTGAAATGTTTTGTGTAGTTTGGTACACGCTCATTTACATTCATTATACCTTTGATAATGACAATTATTATAAATAACACATATTTTGAGATAAAAATCTGTTAATGAGTATACAAATGGTTAACCGAAGACCTCCTGACTAAGTAAATCGAATGAAATAAAACTATTTCTGCGGATATTATAAAGGTTTTATTTAACTTACTTATTAGACATAGTTTCGAACGATATTGTATAGAGCATACGAAGGAGAAGACTCGACAAAAAAAGTAAAATAAAACCGCGAATTAAATGTTTTATTAAAATATATTCGCGTGTCTAAGAATAATTAAAAAAACAGTTGAAGCCTAGGCACAAGGCCTTAGAATTTATAATTATCTAGAAGATATCACTTTTTGGGTTTAATGTGATAGTGTTATTTATAGTTCAATAAAATTGTATAGTTCAAAAAAAAGGTCAATGGCCCCAACAGATGTTCTTCTCAAGACTCAGTTTTTTTTGAACTGTGATAGTTTTGACTTTTGATATAGAAAAAGTATGTATTTAATGTACACACTGTAAGGTTGCATTTTTTTATATTGAGAGTTTTAATAAAAAATAATATATTTGATTAATTTGTAATGATTAATGTTTATGGCATTTACTTATGTGACCTTGGCCGATAGGAACGTGTTTTAAAAAAAATAAAAAAGGGCGTGGATATTCATTTGTTTTCCCGCGCTTTTGCACAGAGATGTCGGTATTACCATGTGGTGACTAGGCACGAGTTGTTTGTAATAATGAAAATTATGATTATAAATTATGTAACTCACTGACGATCACAAAAGTACTGAATATAAGAATATAAGCAAGGAATATCTCGAAGTTTTATTAGGGAGCCAACAATACTTATTATACCAACATTGAATAAAGATTTTGGACAATGTTTTTTATTTTTCAATTTTCATACAAGGGAACACTTTTAATACTTAACCTTATTTAAAAATAGAAAATGGAGTGATATATTTACTAGAAGTGAAAAAATAAAGAATAATATGGATAGAAATATATTAAAATAATATTTCATTATATTATTTATATGGAAAGTTTAAATTAACTATATTATCATTTGATCAGTTGCTATACAGCTAAATACTACTTGAAATTTATTAAAATAAATATGTATATGTTGGTAAATTTACAGTTGGCAAACATTAATCAGCTACACTAGTTATTTTGTGTTAAAATATAATTGAGTTTTACATATTAATTTTGGTTTACTTTTACGTAAAACGTTTTTTGTAAATGTTTACAAAGTTTTTTGTAAATTTTTACAATTTTATCCTGTTGTTTGATGTAACATTGTACATACATACTTTGTGTTTGCCAATAAGTAAATAATTAGTAGTCTTGTAGTCATGTAACTTGCATTGGCCAGCATGCCAGATTATAGCTCTTTTCTCTCTTACAATGAGAACGGCCTGCTTAATTGTAGGGTTTTAAATAATTAATAAATTGAGCGCTTTTGATGTTTCGCTGGGCAATTATGGGATGTTAAATGGGTGGATTATAACTTAAGACACCATTCATTATAAGAATTACAATTCAAAATGAAAAAAGTAGAAAATTCTGTAGAACTGGATAGTATAACATAGTAAGGCTATAGACCCTGCACCTAACTCTTTATTTTTTGAATGGGCATGTATGTTGTATGTTTTATTCAACATTGAAATAGTGTAGAGTTGATCAAATCATTCTCAAAGAATGTCATCTCCTTAAAATATTTACTGTATAATAATTAATAACTGTTGACTCAAACATTCCTCAAATTTTTAAAAGAAGTTTTCCAAACAATTTGAGTACAATAAACACTTTAAAAATGCTTCTATATAACCAATACTCGAAGGAAACAAGAAAATAAATATATATAGGTACCTCATCAACAAATTATACTTTTGATAATACTAATAATCCTTAATTTCAAATATCCTTATTGTGTCAATTTAAACAATGGATATTCCCTACTTATAAGGAAATACCCCCTAATTGCAGGATACATTTTTATAGAACCTCAAAGAAGTGGCCCTAAATAAATAATATTAATATTAAATATTGTAATAATTTTTAAAATATGTAATACATGTTTAATGATAGAAAAACGCTTATGGCTTTTGGTGCCTAATGCATTAGTATTATATTAATTTTTAACATGCCAAAATAAATACCTATATAAGAAGTGATTTTAAAAAATGTTAAGAAGTGTTTAATTAAATATATAAAAGCATTTTTTTAACGCTTAAGTTTTAGATGAAAGAAAATATGTATATAACATGTGATTTATATTAAATTGCTAATTGTTTACTTAAAAAGTGGGTAGGCACACATTATGTGGTACAGCAAATTATATGGGTGAAGGTAGGTTCTAAACCTAACCTCAAAATTAGTAAACTAATGAAAATAAACATCTTTATCATAAAAAACAATTGAGATTTAAAAAACAAAAATATACTATAGTAATAAGTAGTATAGTAAGATTTAAAACGGGTTATATTTTTTTTAAATGAAGTTATTAATTAATATTTTGACCATATATTAAACTATCCAAAAATATATTTAAGACTAAACATTTTGTATAGAATTCTAATTAGAATAAAAAAGTTAGATAAATCTCTAAACCGGTCTCTATTACTAAATAAATAACTGAAACATTTACTTGCGCCGCGTATCAATGTCATTGATAAAAACAAAAAAGTTTCAAGGTAGCACACCTGATATTCCTCCACCCGGCAACAATCTGAAGAGACAATTGCCTTCATAGTAGATAATATTAAAAACATTGTTCCAATAAGAATATACATTCAAATATATAGCAGCTGAGGGAATCGTCGTCTGACATAAGTAAATGAATAAACGATTAACTTACCCTTATCACACGCCTCTTGCACACATAAAATGATAACTCATAATCACAACAACATCAGTGTAAGATAATTAAGTGTATTATCAGCGACGATTCGAGAAAAACATGTAAACTTAAACTTAAAATGACACACGAATCATCCGACACGCTCCCTTCTCGCTGGAAGGCGCGCCACTGCACGGGGATACCATATGTGAATTATTTTTACCTCAAATAAACGTTACCAGACAAAATATTTTTTGAATAAAACATTTTAATAAATAAATAAGTACATAAAGTGTATTTAAATGAAAATAAGATCCAATACTTAATATACGCACTCAGATGATAATTTTCTGCAATCTCTACAGTATTTAGAACAGGGCAAAGAAAATACTCTTCGACACGATTTCTCGTCCGCGTTGTGAACGAGCATCGAGCTATATTTTGTGGGCTTCTTTGAGAGACGTAAACGACACTCCGATTCTGTAGTTATGAATGCCAACATTACAGGCATTTTATCGCTATATAATTCTTTGATTGCGTTAAAATCAATTCGTGTTGACTTCGTTTTATTCAGAAGTCTGGGCTTTCTCATGGTTTTAGGTTTTTTTATGCTTGGATCACATATTTTGTGCTTAGGCTTGATGCCTTTTATTCCAGCTTGTAATATACCTACAGAATTTGATTCTTGGTCTTGACGAGTGTGTATTACGTCGCTAGAGTGTCTATTACCCATATCTTACTAAAGTACTTCGATAAAAACACAAAAAAATTTAGTTCAACAGAAATATTTCATTATGACGTTACCAAATACTAAATTGATTATAAAGACACTGCGTCAATTTTATTTAAAAAAATAATTAGATTATAGCCAGTGTTTTTTGTATATTATCTTTATTATAAGACTTAATTTCTTGGGAAAACGAAAATTTACACTATAATCGAATATGTTAAGTTAAAAATAAAAACCAATTGGACAAGCTTCTTTAATATTTATAAACGTAACTTAGCATTAAATAACTAAATACCTAATATGTGTATCATTTTTTGAAAAAGGTACTACTTTTTTTCTTTTTGTTACTTTATCCTGTTTTTAGTAAGTAATAGTAGTTTTAAAGTAATAATATCTATTTATTTAATTTGGTAGTTAATTTTATACGGAAAAACTTTTTTTACTCCAAGTCGCCTTGTTACGTATTACCTAATCAATCAAGAATATATTATGCGGGCAGACAGACTCATGATAATGAGATTATTTTAGAGCTTAACAAAATGCGTATATGGTCAACTACAATATATGAGACGACTACTATAACTGTGTTAGTTTGTATGTTTGTGTATATTTGTAGCTCCTTCACTGGCTGGACGGATTTGGATGCAATAAGTACCCAGAGAGACTATGACTGTACGATAGGCAGATATTACAGGTTACTAGTTGGCACTAAGGGACGCAACCGAGTAAAGCAAGGTTAGCCCGCTAGTCTCTATTAACATTATAAATGTGAAAGTTTGTAAGTACCTATGTATGGATGTTTATTACTCTTTCATGCCAGAACGGCTGAACGGATCTGGATATTTGGCACAGAGATAGATTATAGTCTGGAATAATACATAGGCTACTTTTTATCCCGGAAAAATGTACGGTTTCCGTGGGATGGTTTAGTTTTCCTAGAGGTGAACCCGAGCGAAGCAAGGGTGACCCGCTAGTATTTCATAAACTAAAGAGACCTCAGACTGTCTATTATATGAGCACAGTATTAAGCCCCGGAGGCTTACAATAAATCTACTACTGCGCCACGGTCTACATCGTCGTATAAAGAAAGGGGAATATTAATTATTGTATATTAAGGTTTAAGAGAAAGTGTAAAGCCACAAAAAGTAGCACGTACTACTACAATCTAATTCGTACAATAATTTTAAATCGAAAATGAACACAGTATTTATTTAGAGCTATTTGATCTCTATTCTATACATATATTTAGTACGATTATTTGCGCTCGATAAGTAACTCCTGAGTACGTGGACGTAATTTACTATGATAATAGATGCGGCCTTTATAATTCTCTATGTCGGGGACATGACCACGACCACATAATTTTACAGACGTAGTAGGTTAACAAGTTTGTTGTGAAGACTTAAGATTATTATGTAAGCGTAAGTTGACAAAATTAGGTTCATGATTTATGTACTTATCAATAGATTAATTGTTTATCTATTATCTACCAAAATAAACTTGAATTAGTAGATAATGTGTACGTGCATGATTGCAAGTTATCTTAGTAAGCTTTCCTGAATGAATACAGCGTGTTCATAAAAATGTATCTTTATGTAATAATATTTTAAGCACTTGTTCTTAATTTCTGCATGTTTTATTCAGTTTTCTCAAAGGATGCAGCGATATTCTGGGATGACGAACTTATCTAGCGCACCTTCTATATCTTCATCTTTAATTTAAGAAGGCACTAAGGCAGGGTTTGCACTAGCGTGACATTCTTGCGAAGGTATTGTTAAAAAAAATATCAAAATCATTTTACAATGTAAAATCCAAATAAAAAATCATTCTTAGTGAGACTACTGAGTTAAGGGAGGAACCCGAATTATTATAGTATTTTAAACATTCTGTATAATTACATATTTTGGCAAAAAAATTCCACGTAAATTAATCAGCATGTAAACCTAGAATATATAAGCGATGCAAGCGTCGGAAATAGCGGCTTGATACAATATTGGATTGGTCAATACCATGGCTATTAAGTTACTTTGCTTGGCCTTTGCACTCTTCTGTGCTGGTAAGTTCTAAATATATACATCTGTGGTCTTAAAATTTTTGGGTATAAATAAAATTATCGTTATTATAATTATATTATTTGTAATCGTAATCAATCAATTGCGCAGAACTTAAAGATTAAAGATTTAAAGATTTTTATTGAACATAATAACATACATATTAAAAACATTTAGATCGTAAGTAGCTGCATTAGTATAAACTGTGTCGCAGCTATTTACGCCCACCTCGGGACAATAAGGACAGTTATGTTCTAAGGTTAGTACAAATATATTATTAGGGTGTGTTAGCAGAATTAGTTACTATTGTAATGATATTAATTTAGTTTAACTTGTAAAGTACGTACTCAACTTAACGAATTAAAAAATTGCTTTTGAAATAAAAGTTTTATTTCAGTCGGTAGAAGAATTAGATTTCACTTAACCGCTCCGTTCTCCGTTGTGCGCGCTCTTATACTTAGTGACTGTTATGTTAGGAGATTGCGGATGAAGAAGGAAAATAAACGAGTGGAGTACAGGCCGTAAATAATACAATAAAAAATTAAACAAAAAAATAAACAACTGTGTAAAAAGCAAACTAAAAAGATCGGAACAAGTTAGCGAAGGAAAATAGTATTATGCAGTCTGATGTATGTACATTCAGATCAAATACATAACCCTCCTTTAGGTTTCGCCGCAGTCGGTTAGAAATAAGGACGAATTTATTGAATAAAACTATTTTAATCATATTATGTACTAATAGATAGAAAACTTAAATTCATTTATGATTGCCATATGATTTTGATATAAAAGTACCTAGCTAGGTATAATTTACCTAAAATAATTATTGCCCGAATTTTTGCTAAGTTAAAGGGCTTAGATAATTTTGACAATATCATATTCTAATTTAACATTTATTTACAGCTTCAGCAGCACCAGAGAGTCGTATCGTAGGCGGTACGCCGACAACAATTGAGGATTTCCCGTATATTGTTGCCATCGTGTACCACTACCCTAGACCAAATATCCACATCCAACGATGCGTCGGATCTCTTGTCTCATCGTGGCACGTCTTGACAACCGCCTTCTGTTTCACGTAAGTTTACCTAAGAGTGTCTAAACACTGAAATCACAGTTTATTTGTGAGATATATATATATATATATATATATATATATATATATATATATATATATATATATATATATATATATATCTTTATATATATAATTCTTCTGTGAGTGTGTATGTCACTGAACTTCTCTCAAACGACTGGACCGATTTTGATGAAATTTTTTGTGTGTGTTCAAGGGGATCTGGGAATGGTTTAGATTCACAATTTGAATAATAATTTTCATCAAAAAAATTATTAAAAAAAGTTTGAAATTTTCAAATTAAAGACGTGTAGACAGGACAACGTCTGTCGGGTCCGCTAGTATATATATAATATTCAAAAGGCTTCGATGAGAGAACGAACTAGTGACCAAATTGATACTTTCTTGATTTACCTACAAACGTAATATTTTATTACTGTTTCTAGCTCAATTTCTCGCCTACCTATTACAAACACGGATAATACTAAGTAGTTACAAAAGTATTCGGAAATTTCCTATTTATTCCGTAACTTTTAGTGAATAACATTAATTATATAAAAATAAAATTAAACAAATCTGATTTATGTATGGTGTTAAACGGCTTTAACATAGGCATTCGAACATATACACGTGAAACCTCTATTTAACAAAGTTTGCTCTTAGGTAGGTACTATGAAACTATGTAAGGTAAATGAATACCTTAGTTACTAACTATACTTTAGTTCAAACTAAAAAGTTAGTCAAGTAGCTTAAAAAGTTAAAGCGATAAATATAAATAGAATTTATAAATAAATATCGTTATCAGTTCATCGTTATGTAATATTTCATTTAATCGGAAAACAATCGGTCACGTATGTGACGGAACATCTGGATTAATTTATCTATTGATCATCAATTACAAATGCCATATTGAAGCGACCTTAAAATATATCGTATTTTAGATATATTATACTATTGCTAGCAATATAAAATAAAAAATATTATTAATAATATAAAAAATATATTAGGTACTTTATCATTTACATACATTTTGAATAGAGCTGTACCTATAATGAAAACCCTGGAGAATCCTTTTTTTTTTTAACGTTGGGAAATGCATTTATGCACGATGTGTGGGACTCACCGGCAAAGCCAGTACTACCCACTAAAACCCAACAAAGCCTTCCCCCGTCTTAATGAGGCGTCGCAGGATCGCTTACGCATTCAACTACGACGCCCCGACGGCAGGTCTGCCGAAGCAGACCACAACAACCACGGGGTTGCTCCAAGGTCCACTCTGCTATCAGAGAAGTACCAGGAGCAACCCGCATGATTCACCGCCCTCCGAAGAGGGCGCCTCCCACTGCCCACCGAAGTGGGCCACCTCCCTGTGCGTTTCTTGGCTTCGCGCCCGGTTGGGTTGCCGGGCACTACTGATCCCCCCCACCACGACAAGGTGAACGCACGTTGGGGGGGACCCTGGAGAATCCTGCACTAACCATTATAGTGAAGCTTTAGTAAAAATATATTAAAACTATATAGTTTATGCATAAAGTATATAGTTATAAAACCTTAGTGCTTGTGTTATTGAAATTGTACCTATTTGTTATTAGTTTTTATACCACGCCTCGAAGGACCAATGTCCAAATAAAAATAGTGGGCGACTAAATAGGACCATTTATTTAAATTTATTATTAGTCACAAAAACTAGATAAGATACTTTTATAGATATTTTTGTAATATTCAGAGGGGCTGATGTGAACAACATGCTCATACGAGCTGGATCGACAAATAGCATGAGTGGTGGTGTCGAATCCCGTATTGCGGAAGTGATTAAGCATCCCAACTATGTAGAAACGCCACGATCAGCTGACATCGCTGTCGTTCGCGTAACAGAACCCTTTAGAATTAGCGACTCTATCAACGTCTTATTCATCCCTCCCCCTGGTACCTTTCTACCTGATGGTATGCTCACTAAGGTTGTGAGCTGGGGCTTTGAAAGTGTAAGTCTACCATTTCGAAATAAAATATTTAATATATTACATTTTTGTCATTAAATTAATGTTTCAAATCCTTATTCCATTCTAATTTTGATAAGTTTTACTCATATTAATTTATATGTTACAGTTTCGGACAGTCACACATTCAGTATGTTTGTACTCTTTAAAACTGTATTAAACTTTCACATTTATAACATAAGTTGATTTAACATGTTATATTTTACTTTCTTAGATTTACGCGAATATTTGACATTTTAAATAAATAAAACTATCTTTTCGGATTATTCGGATAAAAAAATAATCCGAAAAGATAGTTTTATTTATTTAAAATGTCATATTTTGTAAATGAATACCTTATCACTTTTAATAATTTTATTAGGAATCCGGTCCTCAACTAGAAACTTTGAAGACAGTTAATCTAATCAAACTGCCTTTTGCTGATTGTCAGAAGATTTTCGAAGGCGCCCAAAATGTAACCATCGATGAAGGTAAGCAAACGAATAATAAATAGCAAAGGTTTTTTAAACTGCATCGTTTGGTTAGTTTACAATATGTATAGAAAAAATTTGTGTGTTCACTTTGTTTCACCTCTTCCTAAAATATTTTTTTTCATACATTTATTGGTCCATAAAAACATGATTTTTATTCTGGGAATTCTGTACAGGTATAATGCCTTACAAATGATGTAACCTTTATTAAGCTTTTGACGTTTAAGTAACACATTTTGTCTGCGATCTTGCTCTCGGTTCCACTTGCGTTGTTGATTGTGATTTTTGAGTTGATTAACTTCTAAGTTTTAATCTAGGATTAAAGCTATTTCCACTGCAAATTTCACCAAAATCTGTAAAGCTATTATTACAGCGTGAAAAAGTAACATACACGCACAAGCACTACCTCTTTGCTTTTTAATAATATTCTTATATGAGCATGATTATAAAACATCTTAATGTTTACAGCCATGCTTTGCGCGAGTGCACCAGGAAAAGGCATTTGCAGGGGCGACTCCGGCGCACCGATGGTCCACAACAGCGTCCTTATTGGACTGTCTTCGTTTTTCAAGGTCTGTGACAGCGACGATTACCCCGATGTCTTCACTAGAATCGATTCTTATACCGATTGGATCATGGACGCCGCTAGTGATAGCCGATCTGTTTCTCCGATTAGAGTAGCTAATTTTTAAATTTTTTAGTATCGATACTGCAATCGATTTTGAATGACTGCAGCTCTGAGTTAAATTAAACTTTAAAAGCTTTAACTTTAAAACCTTATATATTATTTGCTGCATTTATACATCACTTATTGTTTTCAAGATAATGGATGTCTAAGGATATAAGGCGTAAAGATCTTAATAAAACAAAATTGTAATTATTATCAAAATATATGTATTTACTTAGTAAATCTGTTTTTTACACCCACTAAATTCCTTTTTTCTGTGAATATTTTGTAAAAAATATTTCATTACATGTGATATTCCAATCTTATATAGATAATTTCATATACATATTTTAAAATGTAAATCAATGAATATCATTTGTATATGAGATTTCATTTGCTTTTTTACTTAATACATAAGGCATTATCAAATACTATTATACATTCTATGGGTCAAGAACAAAAAATCCTAAATGTTGTATTTATAGTCTAAGAGACAAACATTGAAAATTAAAAATAAGTTTAAACAGTTCAATAAGTTGTAAAAATATGTATACGTGGTGTCTCTCGTACTATATCGATAGGTATGGATCATTTAATCTTTGGGTATATTATACAGAATTTTACATAACAACCATTGGCAAGGCAAGACAGGTATAAGACAAAGGCACTATTATTGCTTTTTAAAAAATAATTAACACGTTAAATTATAATTACCTAACTACCCTACTCCGTGCACTCGGTGGTCCCGCGTTACTTCTAAACAATCCTAACATAACGTATTTTTGTCAGTCAATGCGTGAGCTTATAGGTTTAAAACAAATTATCAATAACTTCCTTTAGTATAACTTTAAATGTCCGAATCAAGCCTTATTTTACTACATATTGTACAGTAATAAGGCGACTATGTGTTTGATAGGTACTTTGTTACTACATACATACATACAATGTGAATGAAGGCATATTAAAAAAGAAATCAATTTATCCAAAAATTTAATACAAATTAATATGAAAACATTGGATTTATAATATCCATGTAAATTACTTATCAACTATTGTGATATAACATGCATTGAAACAATTCATGAGATTCACTGAGACTTCCTTCCATTGCATTATTGCATATCTTATTTAATGCTAATATTTACAAAACCAATAATCCCTCTATCAAGAGCTCAATTCAATTTTCTTATAAATGTTTTAAGGGATTCAGGGGTCTTAGATAAGATGTAATTTTGCAATCATTGGAAAATGTAAATAATAAAAATTGAATTAAAATGACAAATTCAATCGTTATGATGATTTTATAGAAGATGGCAGGCACGTCTTGGGAATGATGTGGACGCTTCTAGGCTGCTTTTATATTTTAGAATTATTTATAATGTTACTTCCTTAAAATTAAAATAAATTAGTTCCACTAAATTTCTTTTGCTAGTTTTTATCAGGACTGAGGCTCCTTTTTCCGAAGTGGTGGTAGACTAATGACGTTCAGTCATCGATCAAAAAATTACTAGATACACAATCGATTACAAGATAGACAAAATATGACTTCACCGAATGAGCGCTCATTTGAACATTTAAGCGCGCTTTTAGTTAATTTCATTTTTGTGAAAATAACTTTAAGCATTGCAATTAAGATTCAATTTACATTGTTGTATATTTATTTCAATTAGCGTGTAGCGTTTAGTAAAAAATTGTAATAATTTAATACTGAATAATTTATTTATATATACTTTATTGTACACCACAATCATAAAGTAAATACAGTAAACAAAACTGTTTACATATTTAAGATCTTTTTGTAAATATTGCCTGAAATAAATGATTAAATAAAAAAATATATGAAAAACAAAAATTATTTAAAAATTAATTTAATTTATTTTTTTGTGAATTTTTAACAATTGTAGAATAACATCCTTTCTAAGACCCCAGATTAGATAAAAGGATCATAACAGATTGCATTATCTTGGACAGTACGAAAGATAAGAAATGAAGTCAAATGCAATGTTGCTGTCACAAAATGCATAAAAAAAATATAAGTACAAGTTTTAATTTTTTAGACTTACTTTGGACGGCAAATTCCGGAAGAAAATGTAATACTTAACAGGAAAAACTACATATACGATATAATTCCTTAAAAATGTTTTAAATCTAATCAATTAACAACTCCTTAGTCTTAATAATAAAATTTGATCTTCAATTAAAGCTTTTTAAAAACGTTGAATCATTACTACGCTAGCTTAAGTTTAGCAAATACCTGTAGACATGTTCATGTAGACTTAGCTGCCAATATTTAAGCTTACATAAATCTAAGCTTTAGATTCTGTTTGAGATTATTGTGGTACCTGTAATTAAAAGTAGATTATTAATCATCTAATAATTTAACTTAAAAACTAAAATGTGTAAACAAAAACATTGTATTGTATTGTACATTGGACTCGTTTTCCGCACTTAGACTCGCATTTGGTCCGTTGTACGTTGCGAATCCTGGCTAGTTCAGCCAGCCTAACTCCGTCCAAAAGCGCAAAAGCTTCCTGGGAGCTTCACAGGCTTCGCGGAGCGACCTCACCGGTTCGAGGATTTCATTTCGTTGGGAAGTTACCGCTACGCATTCCAGGACTACGTGAGCGACTGATTCTACAGCGCTAAAACACCCTCTGCAGAGAGGGCTGTCCGTTGCGCCAATGTTAAATAAGTGTTTGTTTAAGGGACAGTTATTGTCCCTATCATTATTTTGAGATTGGTTCTGTTTAAGTTTAGTAGGCGTAAACAAAAACATTTATAAAATAGAAACGTCATTGCATGTTAAGCGTGCTTGAATCCATATTCAGTGTTTCTATTCTTTCGCCAGTTCTTCTCAGGTTTTAGGCTTCTTCTTTCCGAACTGGTAGTAGACTCATGACGTTCAATAAAAAATTGTAATAATGTAATGCTGAATAAAATATTTTGATTTGATTTGATCTAAGTTATGTTTTCAGGTTTAAATCTAAGTTTTTTACCTTTGCCATTTTCAACATCGTTAAGAAATCTGCATGCTTGAGAGAACTTTTTATTTTTTTATTATTTTTGGAAAATTCCATATTGAAGTAGTAGGTTGATTAACCCCCCCAACGTGCGTTCACCTTGTCGTGGTGGGGGGGCTCAGTAGTAGTAGCGAAGCTAAGAAACGCACAGGGAGGTTGCCCACTTCGGTGGGCGGTGGGAGGTGGCCCTCTTCGGGGGGCGGTGTACCTTGCGGGTTGCTCCTGGTACTTCTCTGATAGCAGAGTGGACCTTGGAGCAACCCCATGGTTGTGGTGGTCTGCTTTGGTAGACCTGCCATCGGGGCGTCGTAGTTGAATGCGTAAGCGATCCTGCGACGCCCCATCAAGACGGGGGAAGGTTTTGTTGGGTTTTAGTGGGTAGTACTGGCTGTATTACGCCGGTAAGTCCCACACGTCGTGCGTAAATGCATTTCCCAACGTTAAAAAAAAAAGTAGGTTGATCAACAGCTAAATCTTTTAGCATTTATATTTTTGCCCAGTAGTATTACGTTGAAGGTCGTATTATTGTTTTATTATTATATATGTTTCCGGGCTGCCACAACGGTTTAGATATAGATAAGAATAATAATTATTCGATAATCCATTCCAATCTAACTAAAGTTCTAGTCACGTCAACACATCACGTTATTGTCATAACTTTTAGGGCTGATCCACACTATAGTGCCAATCTCGGTCTGATATCGGTTTGGTAAAGTATTTTTATAGAAGAAACGTTGCTGGGGTGTTACTCGTCCGGGACTTTACTAATAATGTGTATGCAATCATTTTTTCCTTTATAAAAAAAAGTACATTACAAAACCGATATCGGACCGAGAACGAACCGTGATCGGCACTATAGTGTGGATAGGGCCTTAATGTACCGGTTCGGACGATCAACAATCCGACGCGATGACGTGACTTCGACACATGTCATTCGTGACGACGTTCACCTCAATGACATAATCTAGTGACGTACCGCGTCCAACGACCGCGCCGTCACTCGCGGCGCACGTCCCGCGCGTCCCGCAGGTCGGGCGCGTCGGGCGGCGCGACGGTGAGCGTGACGGCGGCGCCGGAGCGCTTGATGAGCGCGACAACGTCGGGATGCGGCAGGTTGCGCACGGGCTGCCCGTTGATGGCCACGATGACGTCGCCCACGCGCACGCGCCCGCACCGCGCCGCCGGCGAGTTGGGGATCAGGTCGCCTGTGAATATTATTTTTTATTTATTGCTTTGTTTATATTATTGCATATTTTTATATTTATTTCAAACAATCGAACTGCTGCTGGTGGTAGATTTAGATAACATTTAATACTATACAGATATATTTTGATCTGGATAACACTTAAAGCGAGGGTAAGTAATAAATATGTTAGCTATTTAAGTAGAGATGTTTATTATGAAATTACCTAGCTCTGACTCTCAAAAATAATCGATTCTGAAGTCAAATGTTTCTGGTATTTTTATGAAAATGAGATGAACCTTTAAACGCAGATTATTACTTTGTTTAGTTGATTTGCCGTTTAAAAGTACATATTTACTTATTATTATAAAAAAAATGCATTAAATAAAAAAATCTACATACATAAATATTCCAAATAGCAAGCAAAAATAAATTAAAAAAAAAAACAATCTCACCAATACTGGTAGCTTTGTTAGTAGAGGATATGACCACAAAACCGAACCCTTCGCCCTCGTTCCTGGTCACGGTCACGTCGTAGGGCGCGGCAGCCCAGCCGGCGTTCGTGTCGTATTGTACGCCATACCTTTGAGAGAATACATATCTATACTAATATTATAAAGAGGTAAAAAGTTTGTGAATTTGTGAGTTTATGAGTGTGTGAGGTTGCAGGGGGAAATCTCTGAATCTACTGAACCGATTTAAATGAAATTTGGTAAGAAGATAGTTTGTCACCTTGGGAAGGCCATAGAATACTTTTTATCCCGGAAATCATTGGTTAAAGGGGTGAAAAATGGGGATGAAAGTTTGTACTGGGAAGCAAGCCAGGTACGAACCCGGCAAAGCGAGGGTGAGTCCATATAGTCGAGTTTGTTACAACACTTATAGCTCGAGAACTGCTGGACCGATTTTATGGTCTTTATTTAGTTGGATGTGTTACCCCGAATAGCACAATAACTAATAAAACATCGGAAAAATTCACAAAAAAAAATTATAAAAAAAAACTATTCCATACTAAGCGTCAAAACGTACCTATGGACGAACCTGAGAGAAGCGAGGGTGAGTCGCTAGTATTCTTATATTTAATGACAATAATAAGGATAAATCTAATGGATCTGTCTGACAGTACCTTATTATAAAATATAATTATGCTAGTTTTAGATGGTATTAGGGAACATTTGAGATTGTATTAAATTACACAAGATAAACTAATCCTTATTATATAAACTCAAAGTTATAAAATAAATACAAAAGAACAAATAATATTACATACACTAAACAGCATTTTTTGCGCGGGTGTAAATTAAGACGTCAGGTGACGCCATTTGCAATCCCAACCTCTATTTAAACGAGTAACATTATAATACTAACGATTGTAATTACATATATTCATGCACCACAAAATGAACTCTAACAGTATGTACATAAGTATCGAAATGGAACGAACATGGGAAAGTGAGCGGGCGGGTAGAGCGGCGCCGGGTGCAGGATGTTGTACGACGTCGGCGACACGTGGCGCAGCGGCTCCGTCCTATTGCGAATGATTTGTTAATATATGGACATATACACGTTAATGACTTATTGAATAATATGAAATAATATTAGTAGTAGAATACATATGAAATAATATTAGTCCCGCTGAGTTACTTTCGCCAGTTCTTCTCAGGCCTGAGGCTTCTTCCTTCCGAACTGGTAGTAGACTCATGACATTCATTAAAAAAATGAAATAATTTAATGCTGAATAAAATATTTTGAATTTGAATATTGGATAGTTTGTGATTTTGTGGCATGCATTTAGGTTTCATGGGTTTGATCATCGTTTGAAACGAATTTTTGTAGTTTTTTTTCATTGTTATCGTGCATATAGTCTGTAAATTGTAGCAATATCTATACATATAATAAGTGTAACTGATCGCTATCTGTACATGGAAGATATTTGAGAAAAACTGTTATTGGAGGTCGTATTAACGCAATAGAACCCAAAACAATGATTTTTAGAATGTTTGATTGTTTGTGCGTTTGTGTGCGCTAATCTCGGAAACAGCTTAAACGATTCGGGTGCGGTTTTTACAAATGTATTGTGGTAAGTTTCACTTAACATTTAGTATTTATTTCAATTGGTTCATAAATAAAAAGTTATGTCAATTTGAAGAACCACCTGGGGGCGAAACCGATTGAAGCGAGGGTGAGTCGCTAGTTCATATGTAACAGTAATAGAGAAATTGATTATATTTCAGAAACGGTTATATAAAACAGTAATATATAAAAACAGTTAATAACGAGTTTGTAAGGGTATAATAAGCCAATGTTAAATTATCAGTCCATTACATTCAAAAAGTATGCTATTATATATTATTATAACATATAAAAAAACAATACCGATACATATAATATATTAATTAAGTATAACTGACGTGAGTAGCGGCTGGTGCGATAGCGCGTGCGGCGCGGGCAGCGCGGGGATTCCCAGCGGCTGGATATCTGCTCTATTGTGTCTCACGCCGAGTGTCACCTGTGTGATGGTAAGAGAATACCATAATTATTCTTATATCTAATATGTAGGTAATAATAAGTATAAACAGCAAACATTTGGAATCTTTATTAAACTAGTATTATGTACATATAACATACATTGTATATATATTGGAATCAAGTTAGTCGAATCAAGAAGATTTACTTAAATTACATATGTTACACAATCAACGTATAATCATTTTATAATCAGGGTTAAGATAACAAAATAACTATATATAAGATTATTATAAGATATGTATGTATGTCTGAGACAAAAGAATTATATAGACAAGAGTCCGTCAAAATAAATGTCAAATTTTTAAACATTATCGTTTCGCTATAAGTTTACTTCTATGACACTGTCTATATTATTTCTTAGTTTAAGATGTGTGTATGCATGGGTGTGTGTGTAGGGGGGAGAGGTGTGTACCGACCCGTCCGCGCGCGGCGGCCTGGCAGACGGCGGCGACGGCGCGCGCGTGTGTGGCGCCCGCCAGCGGCACGCCGTCCACCGACGTCAGCAGGTCGCCCGGACGCAGGAACCCGTCCGCCGGACCGCCTGACATTTGACAAGTAGATACAGAAACATTATTAAATACTTTTAAATAAAACTATCTTTACGGATTTTTTCGCGGATCTATATTAATAAAAAGGTGGTCTCATCTTTAGATCAACTAACCTAGGGTAGTGAGAAACACTGGGTTTATTTAGACAAAATCCAGTGACATTAAATGATCAGAATGGATGATGATGACAGATGGATTTTTTTTTATAAAAACGACTTCTTGCGTACATTTTAAAACTGTACAGTTCAAATCTCAAATATCATTCTCCCGTACCACACAACGGAATAAATATATATAAAAGACAACAAACCAGGCACAACATATCCCACAGCGACCCTGCTACCGTCCTCGGTGCCGCCCACGATGCGGAACCCGAACCCGGCGGAGCCGCGCGCCAGCGTCACCAGCACATCCGCCTCGGGGTCCGTCGAGCCGCCTGCTTCTACCTGTAAAATTTGTAAATATTTGTTTGATTGTAGTAAGTATTAATATATTATAGTAAATTAGATTTACTCGAATATTTGACATTTTCGGGAGAGTGTCTACCGTGACCATGATGGCTGCAAAACATTCGAATTGTCGGGAACCAGAAATAAAAATAAATTTGCAAAAAAAATCCGAAAAGATAGTTTTCTTTAAAATAATATACTTATAAATTATTTTTAAAAAATTATAAAATATCCATTATATTTAATAAGTATTACAAATTATTACCTGTGGGTAGTTGGCAACATATAAGCCGGGTTGAGCGTCGGGCTCGTAAGGTGAGCGCGCTGGAGAATGCATGTGCCTCGACGGAGATGTATCTCGTAATCTATTGGGAAAATATATTTTTTATTAATAATTACGATGTAGGTCGCATTAATATAACATTTAGAAAAACCACACACGAAATTAAAATTATAGAATTCTATATAATTAGATAAAAGGCAGTGGTAGTCCAATGGTAACGTGCTCGCTTGGGTAACCGAGAGAAGCGGATTCAAATCCCGGGTCTCGCACCTCTGATATTTTCATGTGCTAATCATTTACAATTTAATTACCACTTATCTTACAGTGAATGAAATCATTGTAAGGAAACCTGCATGTTTGAGAGAACTTAACAAGTTTTCGAAAGACATGTGAATTCCGGCAACCCGCACTTGGCCAGCGTGGTGGACTATGGCCTGATTCCCCTCGTATTGAAGGTACGCCCATGCCCAGCACGGGGACATTAAAAAGAACTGAATACATATAAAATTAGAGCATAATGAAGATAGGATTTTAGCCTACATACACACAGAAAATTATACAAATAAAAAAAGTGAAATAATAATTAAACACAAAAGAGTTAAGTTAATTTGATTAAAAAAAATAGAGGACATAAACAAAAAAAACTTTGTCGTAATTATAGGTTTCTACTTAATTACATTACTGATATCTTTCTTGTGTTTTAAGGTTTTAAACTAGCCATATCACACAGGGTTGGTATCATATACGTTCAACTTACTTAGCGTAAATTACAATAGTAATCGGTTTGCATCTCTGAGGACAGCTTTAAAAAAGTTACACAGCATTAAAAAATATTATATTATCTTAATTAAACACAGGACTAATAAAATAAGGTAAATAGGTATAAATGCAATATATTTTTATACTTTGTTATTATTTCTTATATTTCGCCCGTAAAATCACGTGTAAAATATAATTTATAAAATTGTATTACTAACCCACTTTAAAGATAGAGGAGCTTTTCAATTTTATTGTAGGTATATTTTTTAATGAATAAGCTATAGCCCCAAGGGTCAATCTACAGACCATAATTATTTGGTTGCTGCTATTCGTCCAATAATCGGATGAATAAAAAATATGTTATTCGGAGAAATAATGTCGGTTTGTATGAAAATCTATTTTTTTAGTTTTCTAATGTTGTCGGTGCGTCTCCCTCTCACCGGGCGCGTGTCGTATGAGCTGCGCGGGCGGGGGACCCGGCCCGACCGCGAGCGCACCTCACCGCGGCCACTTCGCCTACCTGCGCCACGGACTACGGATACTTCCATAAACTCTTATTTGATTATACGTAATTCATATACAGTCCACTGCTTTCATTTAAAGTCCCGTTACGGCCTTCACAAATGGAAGAGATGTTTAAATGCAGGCATTTCAACATAAAAATAGTCCCAGTCACAATATACCTATCACACACCAAAAATATTCTGATGAATAATATATTTTTTATTCATCAGATTATAGGACAAATAGACACATTGTAATTATTTTTTAATGTAAATTTAATGTAAGTATACCATTTTCTTTTAAAGCTAAGTTATTTTATTTTATACCACTGAACTGTAATGAAATCAAATATGTGCATACCTCAGTGGTGACCCCTTTATCCTGCTGTTGGAAGAGTTGTTAGATGGAGATTGACTTTGCAGACGAGTGGAGGGCGAGGTGTTGAGCAGTCGGTCCGTGGCACTCGCGTTCGACGGGGAATGGCTTCTCATGCGACCTAATATCACATCTATACTTAATATTATAAATGCGAAAGTAACTCTTGTCTGAGTGTCTGTCTGTTACTTTTTCACGCTTAATCTGCTGAACCGATTTAGATGACATTTGGTATACAAATAGTTTGAGATCCTGGGAATGACATAGGATAGTTTTTATCTCGGAAATAATCATTTAAGTTGGTAAAAGAGGTGCTGGAACTTTGTATGGCGAACCAATCATTTCTCAAGTAAGGGTTATAAAACTCATCACACCTATGTATATATAGTCTATCTATTCCACACTAAGCGTCAAAACGTATCTAGAGACGAATCCGAGCGAAGCGTGGTTGAGTTGCTAGGTAATAATATTTGTGTACGTTTATTGCTTCTTTGCACATAAAGGATGTTATGAAATGAAATATTTAATAATTATATCATTTAAAACATCTATAAGATAACACCCTAAAGAGTAGAATTTTTTAAGAAGAATAATTTTTTTCTCATTACCCGTAGAATTGGAAGGTGAATGCGGCCTTATTCTGCTTGTGGCAGGGGACTGTCTGGAGAGTCCGCCCACAGCAGCTGTACTCGGAGAGTGAAGCATGCCATCCTCTGGGAAACCTTTAAATTAGATTAATTTAATATTTAATTTTTTTTTAAATTTAATATAGTATTTAGTTACAATAGTGAAGTAAGTAAATTTTTATATGGAAAATTTATTAATTCTACCAAAAAAATAAACCCAAAAACAATATATAACTACAAAGTAGCTATAATATACATACATGTAATTATTATACAAAGTATATAAACAAACATGATTAATTAATTAGTACCTAATAATGTATACTATAGCAACTTTAATTTTATCACTTTTAAAGTAGTTTTCCACTTTATGAAATTCATAAAAAAAAAACGTTTCATAATTAGCAAACACGTCGCGTAACATACAGAAGTCAAAAATACAATCAAAACTAAATGTACAAACCTCCATTATCGCTACTATCAGCAACACTCGCATTACCCCGCCAGTATGCAGCATTCATATCCACATGAACTGTAGGCGTCGGGACTTCCCCCCAATTGTTATTCCATCTGTCCCCTCCCTCCCAACCATTACTCGGACCATCCATCCTTCCAATATATTCCGTTGTATTTCCATCCCACTTTTGCCCACTCTCCTCCCACTTTTGTCCACTTTGATCCCACTTTTGGGTTTCCGCCCAATTTCTTGTGTTGCTAGAGTTGTCCAACCATGGTTGTTGTTGCCATTGGTTGTCTTGGTTGTCTGTCCAGGGGGTTACCACGGGTAAAGTGAGCCTTGCCCCGGGAGTGCTACTTCTTCGACGTCGCTCCATTATAGTTTCCCTGGTCTCACGATTTTTGTGTTCTGGCACTGCATATGTTGCTTCTACTAGTGAGCGATATACAAATGTTAATGATAATGAATAACTAAAATAACCTAATATTTCGTTTATTGAGTATATACTATATACATAATATAGTGATGGCTTTATGTAACTATAATTGACTTATAAAATCTAATTATTTGTATCTATATGAAATATATAAGCACACAAGTACATTCCTATATAAGGTACGATTTTTTGTTTCTATAACAGGTATCTCTTAAAGTTTAATGAAAATTGATAAAATGATTTTTGCTAAGATAGTAAAAATAAAAACTAACTAAAGAAATTAAACTAGCAATACATGACTTGTATCTATAAACATGAATATATCTATATAATTCTAAATAATTCTTTACGTACATACATTCTAAAATATAGGTAAGTAATTATATATGATTTATTTTCATGATAATTATCAATTACCTGAATTCATGCCATTCGGTCTATCCCTTAAGCTATTATCTGTATTGTGTACTGGCGCTGAGCGAAGTTGCTCGGCTGTTGGGGTTTTGCTTCTGCCTAGTTGATTGTTGTTTGATGCAGCTAATTAAAAAAAATCATGTTATTGTTTTTAAAACAATTTGACGTATTTTGTAAAGACGTATGACATACTGTACTATTTTTCACGGTGCAGGTCGTATATAAAAAATAAAAACACCCTATGGTGTTACTTTTACCCGAATTAGTCACAAAACCACAAAGTGAACGAAATAATAGATATTTTTAAAATACTAGCGCTACAGTAACTTTGTGGCTTCACTTGGGTGGGTTTCGAAATTTTTATATAGCTTATAATGTGTTACTCCAGGTTATAGTCTATCTGTGTACTTAATTTTATCTAAATCTGTCCATCCGTTACAGCGTGGGGAAGTAACAAACACACAAACATACAAAATACTGATATAAAATCAAACAAATAGACTCACATGAAGTGGCCTGTACCCGCGTAGCAGATCGACTCCTGGGCGCGCGCGCGGCGGTGTTGCGTCGCCACACGCGCAGCGTGGTTTCCGACATCGCAGGGCAGTCTTTTAGTACCTGCCATTGTTTGTTGAATATTTATTTAGTAGTGTAGGCCCACACACATCCTTTTAATACTTTTTCAATTTTGATTAAGATCTTTTTTATTATAACTTTTTTATTAATAACGTTTTTGACAGATTAAAAAAAAGAGTAAAAAGGCGTACATACAATTATGTATATGCATGATTTTTATTTCTATTTTAAATCAAATAGATTTAAATAATCCTTTATTGCTGCAACCGCTATAGCAGTAATGAAATATAATTTTCATTCATTCTTTCTTAGATGTACGCGAATATTTGGCATTTTTAAATAAAACGTCGGGAACCAAAAATCCAAATAAATCCGCGAAATAATCCGAAAAGATAGTTTTATTTAAAAATAATGTACTCATGTGGTTCAAAATTGTTAAGCTTTAATTTGATATCCGCATTGTTACATCGCACTTTCTTTTAAAGAGAAGAGTTTTTCTTGATTCACACCCGAATTAAGTAAAATATTGTATACCATGACATATCCGCAATTAATTTAAAAAATTGCATATATTATAACTGTGAGTGCAGTATAGCTGGATATACCATATTTAAAGCATTTAACATACTTGAACGACATGTTGATGCGGGGCATGTCTCACGTCGGTGTCGCCGATTTGGAGCAAAAGATCTCCTTCCCACAAGCCGGCGCATCTGCTGCGATCTAATACCTACAATATTATACAATAATTTGCTTAAATAAAATAGAAAAAGCACCAATATTTGCCTTAAAGTACTTTCATTATTTTAAACATTTTTAATGGTTCTAATTAGGGGGTTGGCCGGTGGGTATTAACACAATTCAATAATATTTAATTTGGGGTTACAATTACTATGATTCCTTCTACTTATAAATTAAACAATGAAAGTGTACCTTTTTAACTTTCTGTCCGTGCACACTGTCAGCAATAGTAAACCCAAAGCCGACGGCGCCCCGGCGCAAGGTGAGGGTCAGCTCGCGGCCAGGCTCGGTCGCTGCGTTGTTGTTGTTACGATGTGGATGTTCTAGAAATTTCATTAAACAAAATATTAGTTTACTAAATAGTTTAGTTATGACGCGGATGTTTTTGGAATGTTAAGTTATTTTTAGTTAATTTTTACTATTACAGGTATTTATAGGTACAGATCTACATGACAACAGTGACAATCATTTTTATGCGTTGGTAGAATTTACATGATAGTTTCCATTTAGATGCAATTAATACCTCAAACATCTCGGCAATTAACACTTTAAGGCATGATATTATTAACTGATGATTACAGATATTTTCTATTTAAGCGTGCCTCTATCCACATATTAATATACAATTTCAATCATGCACTTAAAAAAATATTAAATTGGCGTGTGGTTAACTTTAGGTTCCATAGTAAAGTGCTCCAACTGACAACCAACAAAATATGAGTAAAGGACTCACCCGACGCTAAGCTGAGCAGATGATCAGCGGAAGGACATCTTGGCGGCACAGGACTGATTTCATTGGTAGTGGCCAACTCGTCCAAATCGAAGGATCTGGACATGAGTCGCCTCTGTGTGTTGGGTGTTTCGGGGGAGTTGTCGGTTTCATCGCGTCCTTCTGATGCGTCTACGTGGTTTGGCGAGTCTAGGTTGAATCTATGAGAAAAATCCATACTAATATTGTAAATGTGAAAGTATGTTTGTTTGTTTTTCTTTCACGTCGAAACAGATAGATGGATTGACGTGATTTGTGTGGAGATAATTGAAGGGAGGGAGAGTGATATAGGCTTTTTACCGCGGGAGATTATCTCATTCCCACGGAAATACGATATAATACAGACCACAACAACTTATCATACCTTCATTGATCTATATTTATAATTAATGTTCATAAATTTATCTTCTATATAATATGTTCCTAAACCATTGATCCGATTGTGATGAAACACTGACGAGTTATTCTGTATACTGTTAGTCAGCGAAGTTTTTTGGCGCAAAAAAAAAAAAACAATTCAATATTTTTTTGAGGAGTACTAGGCCTCTAAGTAAGTACACGTGACTTAAGTAAGTCTAATAAAGCAGGCCGTTTAATGGACTCGTTACGCTCATTATTAAGAATCTAACTTAAGAAACTACACATACTGAGTTCTCAAAGCCCGTCTAAGCTGTTGCATTGCGACAGCCTCGGTGGTGGCTGGAGTTGTCGCATCTACTGCTAATGTACTGAGCACTCGTGTGTTCGGGTCTTCTGAGTCAAAGGATAGCGGATATCCTGTAATAGAAATACTATTTTTTAAACAATTTAAATATAATAAAATGTAAGTTTCTTTGTATGTTTGTCCTCTATTTGTTACTAAATCATTTATTCATAGGGACACACCCGAGCGAAGCGGAAATATATTACTAGTAAATAATAAGTATAATTTTAAATTTATCATTTGAATAATAACTAATAATTTAATTAAAATAATTTCATTTATGTATACACAAAGTTTTCACTTGAATGAACATGTTTTACCTATTTATGTTTAGAGTCAAACATATGATAAAAGCAATAAGCAGCAATCAAACAACAAAGCAACCAATCACGTGTATTTACAACTTTCCTTTTGACCATCTTCGACACACAAAAGGGGCCTATGATACATAATTATTATAGGTAGATTTCATGATATATATCTATAAAACTTACAATATAAATCTTAACAGAAGACTATTTTTCGAATTACTTAAATATAATAATATTGTTATAGTTTAAATAATGATTAATATTTAATCATACTTTAACTATTGCAGTGCATTTACACTTAATTACATTAATCTATACATATATTAAAATTGTAACTAAGCCGAATCTGTACATTAAATATTTTTTGAAAAATCTTATTCAATTAGACATTATCATCGATAGAGAGCCCAAATCTAGTTTTTAGAATTTTTGTCTGTCTGTTACCGCATCACAAAAAAACACTGGAGGGATTTTGACGTAAGTTGGTATGGTGATAGCTGATTATCCGGGTCAACATATAGGATATTTTTACTTCTGGAAAATGTCTCATTTCTGAGAAAAAATACAAAAATTGCATTGTAAGCGTATACTAATATGTAAAACCTAACAAATTGGTTTATGTTCATCTGAACGCGGGCTCAGCCGCGGGCAATGCTAGTTTAGTATAAATATAATACATATTTACATACCACGCACAAAATGTAAAGTAACTTCTGTGCCAGGGGCAATAGATTGGAATATCTGTGCTATTTGGGCGTGAGATAGCCCTCGCACTCCCTTGTTCCCCACTCCCACTATCAGGTCGCCAGGCCGAAGAAAACCTTAAATATAATAAAGATTAATTATGATTATATTATTATATGTATAACATATTCATTTTTTTCATGTATTTTTGTTTATTAGAAATACAAGTAGTTCAACTCAATTAGATATTTAATGATATTTTATGTATATTAAAGCTTTTTAGCTATAGCTATCTTATTTTTATATATTTATCTTATTTTAAAGATCTTCATAGGTTTTGTTGTACTCTCATTTCACATTTATAAAAAATTTTAATATGGTTCTTTGTAGGAAATACTTTCTAAAAGAACAATATGTATTATATAGTACATACTATAATAATACATACATATGTATTCTACTCTTTTCAACATCTCCCTGTTGGGCCAAAGTTTTACAGGTAAAACCAGTATATCTACATAAAGCTACTTGACTCTAATTTATTAGAGGTGAATCTACATTAACAAAAAGCAGTTAATATATAATAACTTAAAGGACTTACCATCAATCCATGCCGGGCTGCTAGGCACTATACTGCGAATTTGTAAATAGCCTTCTGTTTCTGGTATACCTTCAGCACCAATTAGTGTAAATCCCAAACCCTAAATCACAATTTTTATTTCAGTAATCAAATGCTAAATTTAAATTATAGTAACAATATAATGGTTCAATTTAAATATACAATAGTTATACATACACTTGAAATATATTATTCTTCTAAAGCAACAAGCTTTGACGACACATTTGGCTCAGTTCGCAGTGAACCTATTTGCTGTGCCAGCGGTCGCGGGTTCAAGTCCTGCTGGGTGTATTCATTTGTGTGATGACCATGAATGTTTGTAATCTAGTCATGGGTGTTTATATTTATATGTATATATTTAAAATTGTATATGTGTAGTGTATCAATTACCTGGTATCCTTAGCACAAGCCTCATAGCTTAACATAGAACTATGTCGACGGGTGAAAGGCTATTTGGTTTAAGAGACATGTGCTTAACTTTACAGGAGAGCCAATTCAATCAATTTTTTTCAAAAAAACATCATTAAATTGGCTTTCCTGTAAAGTTAAGAAAATGTCGCTTAAACCAAATAGCCTTTCACCCGTCGATATGGTGCTAAGATTATATAACATTAAAATGTTGCAACTTATTTATTTATTTAATTGCTTTGAAAAATTTGATGTACTTACTAAACAAAATAGTTAAAAAATTACATATACTTTTAATTACCTGTGTGCCTTTTGTTAAACTTAATGAAAAACGCTCCCCTCTTAGTTCTCCTGTCGGTGGTGGACCATTAGGTTGATTATTATTTCCATTTTCTGCTGCCATTTTTTCAGCTACAAACAAACATAAAATAACTCTAAAGGCTTATTTTATTTGTGATATAAATTTATTTTTATGACAAAATAATCATTTTTTTGTTTTGTTGTTTTTCTTACAATAAGTAAGTAATGTACTTGAATGTTTAATCCTAAAGTGCTAAACAAACCTTTTATTAAATTAACATATCTTCTTATACAAGGCCACCTAATTTGAAAACAAGCTTAGATAATGTTGATAAGAAAAAAAAAAAAAAAATATTTCATTATAAATTTTGCTGTTTTTCTTACCTCTTAGTCTACGAGCCTGTAAAACAGGATTTTCATATTGAGTTCTTCTATTAATATGGTCTACATAATATGAGCCATATCTTTCATCGGTAACTCTTTCCCATCCATATGGCAGTTCATCTTCTCCACATTCACCAAGGGAGTGCTTTCTAACTCGTGCAAGTCTCGGATCTAACCAGTGTGATGTACCTGTATTGTAACTAACAACAAAAGAATCTATAAATATTTAAAGCAATTAATAACTATAAAGTTAGATGGTCTTTTAACTTTTGCTATATATGTATTTAGAATATTGTTTTGAACATCAACAAAACCATACCAATTATTCTATTACATAATAGTTTAAGTAATGATTATTTTTATAATTTTAATACTAGCGACTCACCCTCGCTTCGCTCGGGTTAGTCCCTAGGTATGTTTTAAATTTTTTGAGTGGAACTCTAATTCTTTTTCTAAAATAAAAGTAACATATGTTACTCCCTATAACATCAGCTATCTTCCAGTGAAAGTCCCGTCAAAATCAATCCAGCCGTTTCAGAGATTATCCAGAACAAACGGACAGACAGATTTTTTGTGTTTTTCTTATAAGTAAAGTATATAATTTCATATGCATTAAGTAAAACGCTGTTATTATGACATAACAAACAGGCACTTTATCTGTATAGATGTATAGATGATAAAATAAAAAAAGTATATAGCAAAGCCAATGTAAGCATTAATTGCATAGTGCTTGCTTGCAGTTTCAACAGCCTTAACCCACTAACCTAATAGCACAGACAACTAGAGGCATTTCAAAGTAATTTCAGTATATTAATTATTATGAAAGTAAAAACTTCAATTACAAACAAATAGTTTGTAACAGAAACTATGACATAATTATAACAATAAAATAACTTCTGTATCTTTACCTTTTGTCACCATTTCTTTTACCATAACATGAGAGCATTTTTAACTATTAAGTAGAACACAACACCTAGTGCATATTAAAAAATCTCGTGATCACAACAGCTGTTGGCATGAAACTAAATTTTTAAACTCAACAATATATCTATTTTTAGATATCTTCAAAATATTTATTTTAATATAGTACACCTACAATCTGTTCTGCTTTGGATCATTAGCAAGTGGTGGAGTACATATTTTCTACTGATTGAATCAGTAATTCTGATTTCTGAATAAATTACATTCTTACTAAATACCAAGGTAAAAACAATTTCACTTTTCACACTACATAAAGCAATACATAACAAATAATGTTTATTGCATGTTAATGTATGTTTTATTCAAATCAAGAATACTTACTCTATGAAATATCTTTCCCCAGAAGGAGTAAAAGCTTTTTCCCACATTGGTGGTAGTGGGCCCAAATTGTAATCATCCTCATCTTCTCTTTTGATTGGATTTGCATCTCCACCCCTAATTCCAGTTACTGAGCCTCCTATAGTTCCTGCAGTTCCAGAACTATGGGTAGATATACCAGCCGAAGAGAGTCTATCAGAATCTACTGAGCTCTGAGCCATTGCTGCAGTGCACTACACAGTAAACATAACACACATTCTACACAGAATTCACTAAAATCTACTGTTATTCGTACTAAACGAAATAATTTGCAGTTCTTTTCTTCACATTCTTAACGCCTTATTCATCGGAATTACAGGCATTCCATAAAAAACAAAACAATAGCGGTATGCCACTGACCATCTATGAGTCATTTTGTGATCTGATGACTCTTACTGTCAGGTAATATATTTTAGATTTTTTACAAAACAAACAGTTCCACGTAGCTCTCGTAACTGGATTTACATTAATTTGCAGTTTAGCTGTATTCAAGCTATAGACACTCAGCTCACTACGTTGTGTATTGGCTTAATTAACGCCCGATGTGGCTGCATTATGCACTGCAGGTGCATCGTAATCGTAACGAATTATGTTATCGGAAATAGCACATATTTCACGTCTCAGTCTTGATTGTAACGGTAAATTAGATAACAACATTTGATAGCTAATGCTTTAACATGCTAATTAGATAACAAGTTCACTTTCTCACATAAACAGGTAAATTCTTAACTTTTTGAAAGTAGGTGCAACAAGTTGATGTTTAATTGAATCGTAGTGAGTAGGTCGTTAGGCCTGGCATGTGTCAGAGTTACCAGTATCTAATAATATTTTCCCCAAATAAAATAGCAATTTCTTCATTTGTGGTGATCGTTTATATATTATTTTATCAAATAGAACAAAAAAATCAAATAAATTTCATTAAAGAGCATTACATAAATAGATATATAAATAACATAGGAATAACGTTTGTTACTGTCATTAGTATAAAATTATGAAGAGAAATTTTTTTTAACCAAATTTCGTGTAGTGATAACTTATTACTCGGGTCAACATTAAGGATGCCTTTTACTACAGGAAAATCTTTATTCCTACGGAAAAACACAATAACGGGTTGTATCGAATCGTCCTTAAAAATTTACATGGCTAACGCTGGCTAAACCATAAGAGATACATCAAAAGAATGTACTAGAAAATTGTAGGTCTTAAAAATCTGCAATAGCATAAGTTTTTCTTCTAAGGTACACTCGTGGCTTTAAAACGTTAGCAGGTATATAAGGAACAAAAATCCGTAAAATGCCGCAATTGTCCTAATAATAAACTAAGAAATTAAAAAAAAGCCTTTTTTTAAATATCTCGAAAACTTTAAAAGTGTCATGTATAAAAGTCGTAGATTTTTACTAGACCTACAACTTTTGTAAAGAATATTTTTCGATAGTAATGTCACAGCAAGCCAGAAATTTAAAAAAACTATTTTTCTACGTTTTGCATCCCCCAATTTCTCGGAGGTAGTTGGACAGAGGGAGCATTTTACGGTCATGACTACGGTTGCCAACATTTCTTCGGCGAAATATAGTATTTTTCAAAATAAGGTATAAAACATATAGTACATTTCAAAAATATAGTATTTTATGAAAAAAAAAACAAAAATACACAGAGATATATTATTGTTACTTATTTATATAAAACTAATTTTTTTGCACTTTTTGCATTTCTTAACAATTTTTTGTCTAATATAAAAGTGTCATAATATGCTTTATTACATTTAATTTCTAAATTAATGTAAATCAAAAGCTCGTGTTTTATTAATCCCTCAACGAACCCGGGCACTCCGGTTTTACAGTTAACAATTAATTTCTTAGAAAATTAATTATTTTCTTAGAAATTTACCTGGAGGAGTTTTAATGAGACACTTCTTTTGTTTCTTTCATTAGTCCGGTCAAGTTAGCCCGAAAAATAGGGGCAAGCAAGGGTACCCCTATTTTTTTCACAAGTGACACTGGTGACAATTTTTGTCACGAGATATTATGAGCTAAGGGTAGCCCATAATTTGACGTCATCATAAGTACTAGGCGATTATAAGTGTTAAGGAATGTATCTTATAGGAAATTTGCGTGCACTCTGTGCTGGCCTTTTTTCGATGACTTCAACATGTAAAATGTACATTGCTTGATTTTTATGATACACGAATGTAGTGTATAAACGATAATTCTCGAATTTTATTATGCTTCGATTTAATTGTATGTACATTACGATTCAATTGTATATACATGGAAATAATACATTTCCTAATTTACGGGAAAAATAATTACGTGGTAACCCAATTGCGCACATCGCTTCACGAATTCAGCTGTTTGTGTGATTAAAGCTTGGTGCTCACGGTGGGCTCATTTTTTATCTGTATTTGAAACATCATCTCTTACATTTTATATGTTCGTGTGTTTGATGCATTTTCATTTTATTTTAATCAGCGATAATTTGACTTAACAATAGATCACGTAGTATAAAATTATAATAAAAATAATTAACAGATCTATGTATTTGACGGACTCTTAAAAAAGAAAGCGGATGGAAGTGTGTTTTGAAGATAGGTATCTTACGCGTAATATCTATATTTTTATTTGAAACTTTACTCAGTGAAACTTCTTTAGGCGCGCCGAGAGAGAGAAAAAAGATTGACATTACGATTTTTGTAACGGAAAGGATTACGTGGGCCGTTACGTTACGGAAGTGATAATCAATTAAAAACCATTTAAACTATAATATGATTATTTCAAAGAATAAATTGAATAAAAATAGATAATTAAAAAAAAAATACTTCTTTCATGTATTTTTAAATGAGCGCCAATTGACGAAAGTACGTTTTCGTTGTTGTTTTTTCTAGCTGGGCAATGCATTTATGCATAGCACCTGTTAAGCTTCGCCAAGCATCGCAGGTGGTTCAATGGAAAGCCGGTCAAAACCGGAATACCCACTATTGTGATGCTGGTACAAGTCCCATTTGCTTGTCTTGCGAAGTTAAACAGCTTATAGAATGAAAAATGTATGAGTTTCACAATAACAGTGTTGATCACCATGAGTAGGGGCGTAGGTATAAACTAGTATAACAAAATATTACAACTTATTCATACGTTATAATTGCATGCCCTCTTAACACGTTTAATAAAATAGGCGACCAAATACATAAGGAAGGTACAGCACCTCCCATTGCCTATAAGGTAGAAACTAGCCAGGGTCCAGGAAATTAGAGATACTATTTCTTTAATGATGTCAACCCATTTGATTTTGAATCAATGTTTTTGAGGCGCAAAAAACAGCAATCTCAAAAATTATACTAAAGGCGTTATTATACCCGTAAAGTATGTTGAGTTAACTATATTACGAGTAAATAGCCAGTAGAGTTCGAGCAAGTCAATGTATACCTATATGTATCTCCAAATGGATTATAATATGCATTATGATAAAGTATTAGAGGAGGCGTTGTTATAATAAAGTGGTACTAATACATCTAATCTATGTAATATGGGATACTATTGTAGGACAGTGCTGCAAATAACCATTCCATATTAATTATTGTTCATAAACGCGCTGTTTTAAAAATAAATGGTTATTCTTATAGTTCCATGACGCATCACAATACATAATATATTAATACGATTTATTTCTGCAGATTACTGACTAGTGAGTAGTGACCGACCATAGGTCCGCTACATTTTATTGCTTTATTTCAAATCGTTAGAGTTTTTCCGACTTCAATTAAAACAAACATTTAAAGTTATTATGGTTTCTAACAGTAGGTACTGACATATTTTCTTTGGGATAAAAAATAGCATATACATTCGGTGGTAATGCAAATTTTATAAAAGTCGGAAAAATAGGTAATAACAGTAGTTAGAGATATAAACTTATATATTTTACTTTGTTTTAGATTTTATTTATGTCTTCGAATTTTAGTCTTATCACAAGTTAACAAACTTCAAAGGTCAATATGGGACAACTTCACAAATCAAAGCTTTTTGAATTGGACGTAAATGTAAGACCTCTATTTTCATGCCATCGTGTTCTTCAACTTAAAATTAGTTTAATACGGGCAAAACAAAACGCAATATCAGTCTGTTTTCCTCTTTTGTACATTAGGATGGTTAATGTTTGGTGATTAGCACCACACCTAAAAACCACTAGAACGCGACCAACATCCTTATGTATGTGCAAAGATGGAACTCGGGAAGCAGGACTTTCGCAAACATAAATTTTTGCGAAAGTCAGCAGCGTCACTAGTTTATGAAAGTGTTGTTTTTTTAGTTACTTATTAATAAATACAGTTATGTGACCATAAATAAATTAAATAATACGATCACTTTTTGTTTAGTTTTTTTGCACCAAAACTTTAGTATAATTGATCGCGCAAACACATGATAATGAAGATCAGGAACTTTAATTATCCAGCACTAGCTTAAAGGTTAATATAAATGTAAATCAATTCAATTCTTTTGTTTAATGGCTCCTAGGAGTATCATTTGTTTTTTTTGTATTTATTATGTAGTCCGTGTATTATTGATATAGCTTTAAAACCTGCATGGATTTGCAAATTTTATCTTTCTTTTAACAATGCTTTTATAAAATTTGGTTTTCCTCAATCTCCATGCAGCATATTACCATCATCTATGATGTAATTATTACTTGAGTTCATCGTATCATAATTCGATGCAAGTGTAAAATGATTGCAAGATTTACGTGTTCCAAAATACATCACACTCATTTTCTCCCGAGCCACCTAAAATTTACTTTAAAGCACGTGAAATTCATTTAGTCACGTATGTTCTCTGGCTCGGTGCACACCGCGATATCAAGCCCTAGCAATATTTCACACAGTTAAAATTTACAAAATTTTTACTTATAAAAAAAGTCGGTGTTAGGTTTCTGAACGTTCGAATATTCGCGCGCTTTCTCGTGTTCCCGCCATCCAACGAACTTTTGTTCATTCGAAGTAAGTGATACAAAATATATATTATGCAGCCAACAAATAAATAAATAAATGTTGTGCCTGTTTTTGAGTTTTATGTGAGTGTTTAATGACATCATGGTGAGGTAATGTAAATTTCGTAACGCAAAAAATGTCTATTGCCGAATATTATTCTAGAGTTGACTTATACTTTACAGCAAGTGGTCAATGTATTTCAAAGAC